TGCATACACAAGCACACAAATAACTCTATATCTTTATTTCTTTTTTGGTTCTCGTTTTTTTTTTCTTTGTAACTTATCGTCAATACTATATTGTTTTTACCAACATTGTTGTTTTTCTCTTTTTCTTTTTAGCACTATATAGAAACATATGGTTATTACTTTTTTTTTGCCTTGATTTATTCGATCTGAAATAAGCAAAACACATACGTATATTAAACACGAATTGCTCTATTTAAGTTCTTCTTCTTCTTCTTCTTCGTCTTTTTTTATTATGCGGAACATGAGTCTAATTCAAGTTTTTCTTTCTTTTGTTTGTTCATTTCATTTTTGTTATTATTTAAAAAAAAACCGTACGTGTTTGTCTGTATGGATGTTTGACGATTTGCTAAAGATGATAATTCATTTGATATGATTCTTTAAATGGACTACAAGTGACATCTGATCAAAAAACAAAAGATTACAGATTGGTGATAGAAAATTTTCTTTGTTATTTCAAATTTTCATTTCAATAATCAGTTAGATATAAAAATCAATGTATATCATACAAATAGTCTTTTTCATTTTATTTACTATATCAACAGATAGTATTAATAATAGCTTATTATCTAATGATGTTCATCCATGTTTATCTCGATCTATGGAACAAATTTTTCTTGAATATGAACAAGAAAAATTTGATTGTTCATCACTTTCATCACAAATCCAAACAACACTTGCTATTCATTTTACATTTTGTCATTTAAATTCAACTGGTATTAATCCTAAAACAATATGTTCTTTAACATCATTTGATAGAAATATAAATGAATGTTTGAAAAATATAACGAAAAATTCATTTGCTTATTTAACTTATACAAATTTTATTCCACATATACAAAGTATTTGTTATGCAATTGAAACACAACAATGGCATAATCATGTACGAAATACTGTTTTACAAATAAATATACATTCAAATCAAATTGAAACTGAAACAAAACAATTATTAATTGAACAAGAAACAATGCAAGCTAGTCTTGATCAAGCACTTATAATAAATCAACATTCTATTGATGATGCACTTAATGTTGATCGATATCTTCAGGTAGCTCAAACAGATGTAGATGAATTACAAGGACATTTGTATGTTAAAGATAAAGCACAAATTGAACTTATACAACAAGTAATAAGAATATAAGATGATTTGTTTTAGTTTGTTTTTGTATTATCATTCGTTTAGATATTAGAAATACTTTTTAATATTCAAACATCATTGTTTACGGATGCATTTGGTTTAAGTTCATATTTTTTCTATGCAATATCACTTATTGGTATTCATATATTGACAATACCTGAACGAACAAGTGATTCAAAGTAGTTTGAAGCAAAAAGAAATTAGAGTGTAGTACTTTCAACTTGTCTATCTTAGATTTTGGTTAATACTTTTATGGCTATGTTTGATTGGTATAGAACGTTATATACTTATTTTTTCTTCATATTCTCAAGTAATAAAACTATTCATATCGTATTATTTTATGACGGAAAAGAAAACCAACTTTTAGATAATTCTTTATGATGTATTATGGCGTTTTCGTCAATTATGGCTTTTTGTCTCTTGTATAACATTGACTTATCATGCTGTGCGATATAGAAATTATTATAAAGAAAATCAAAAATTAATTGATGAGATTAATCGTAAACATAAAAAACTTGAAATAGCTGCTAGAAAATGTAAGATCTTAGAATAAAACAAAAAAATTTGATCTAATCATCGTTTTTATTTTCTCAATATTCAGGCTTAAATGTTATCAATCAATTGGATATGATTAATGGTATGTTTAGATATTATACTACATTTTGATGATATATTGTCATTTTTTAATGCGATAGATTCTATTTCTGATGATACAATAAGTTGTTCATCTGAAAACAATGATACGTCTACATCAAGTTCTTTAACTGATGATGAAGAAAGATAAAATATTTGATCATAATTTATGTGATTTTTTTTTCTTATGAAAGTCATACATGTTACAGTCACTTTTTTCGTTAAATAAAATAAAGTAGAAAATAATTAGGTATTATAATATATCAAAAAAATTAATAATAATAATATTTTTTTCCACTCACAATTAATAATAAACTTTCTATCATTCTTATTTTGTAATCTAATAGAAGAACATCAATAAAGTAGTGCAAAGATACATGAATCTGACTAAATAACCGATCTCCTATCGTTATAAACCGTTTGAATAATGAACTGAATACAAAAACTTGCCAGTACAGCTCCAACAAGAGACAGTATGAAACTCACAAATTCTGATTGTTATAAATTTATGGCATATTGTCAGAGAAGTTCAAATAATTTAATTAAAAAGAAACCTGCCAAATGAATGAATAAATTAGAATTATAATAATTTTTTTAGTTGATACACACGCTCTGCAATTTTATCATTTGGAAAAAATGTTTGCATGTAGAATATTTATTTGATTCATTTAACATCGTTATACTGAAAAGCTTCTTTGTATTGTCAGCTACGTCCTCAATACATAACTTCTTTTCTCCAAATGATAATATATACGATACATGTCATAGGCAGTGACAAATATCATTTTATTCTTTGTTTCGCCGGTTCAACCATCGTATTAGCCTGCTTTACACATTAATTTAACTCCAAGCACTCCATCCTTTCTCTCGACGAGCTTTGACATATACCAGTGAGTTTTGCTGAAACTTAGGATACCATTAGTTTTCTATGTTCGTTTCATTCTGACTCTGCTAGATCAATAATATCATCCTCCTATTGTTTAACACCTACGATAAGGTTCTTTCTTTGCATTAAATATCAAAACCCACAATATTTAGACTAGTAAGAATCTCCAGTAGAGATCTTAGATTTATAGAATGAATTTGATGATTCTATAAAGTTCTAGAATGATTTAAACACTGTTATTACTGGCGCGTCTTTTCCAATTGCTATGGAAACGTATCCAATAATGTTTGGCTTCACCCTCCTCCTTTCCAGTTGCTAGGACCTATGGGGGAGCCGCAAAAACCTGGATTTACACTTCCACTCATTATATTTTCTTCGAAAATAAATGTGAGTTCCACAAAATAAAGCTTCAAAGACTAAAATATGTTAAAAAAGGGTGTGGCTGCGACTGTCGACTGGTATGTGGAGTGTGGATGTGAGTGAAGGCATTGACATGGGTACGGGTATGTGAATGTAAATGTAGGTTTTCTCTTAATCCACACCCAGACCCCATACCCACACTCACACTCAGATCCACACCCATACGACATTCACACTCACACCCTCGTTTCTGAGGGTGCCCTTAAGAAAAACCAAATTTTATAATTCATTGATATAATATTAATTGTAATGAAGTTCGCAAATTTTTTTAACAATCTTCAGAATTCTCGCATGTCTTATTATTTAATGATGCTGATATTGAAGTATAACACAATGATTAATATTTATTGCTATATCAATAGTTGTTCAACTAATTCACCACTTGTTATCCATGGAGTTGAATTGTCATGAGTAGTTGATATTAATTTATCTGTATGGTTCCAATGTAATATATAATATTGTACAAATATTCAATTATTTCTAGGTACATAAATTTTGAGGATATCAAATATCTCTTTACCCGATACTCAAGGGGATCTTTCATTATTTAGCATTTACTGTCATTCAATGATGTCAACAGCTTCACATCATACATAAATGAGTATCGACGCGTGTAGTCCATTTAAACTGTGTTTCGTTTTACCAAAATTTGTTTTTTTGTTTGCCGTCATTTTTTGTCTGCTCTCCATACGGTGTACTTTACTATTACCATGAGCAGTGCTTCTCAAGAAAGCACTGGATCGAAAGAAATTGAAAAAGAAAACGACGAAAAGAGAGGCAAAAGAAAAATAAGTAAAGCATTTTATGTTGCACAAGTAACACAAGTGTTCTTTTGCAAACAAATGACGCATTCTCCATATAGAACATTCAACCAAGTTGGAAGTTATTTCTGTGGAAGCTTTTTGAAAATTTTTATTCTAAATATTGTATCTTGGTAAGTAACTTACGACTATACTTCCTAAGCGAGTCTTCATGAGTTTTAAACGCTATAAGTATAACGAATGTATGATTAGAATATTAATTACAAAGAATCGAGACAAAAATGAATGGATATTCATCACAGACTTTCGCTTATCTACACGAATGATGATTTATTCTTAGTCGGAACTCCATCGAATGTACCTACGTGTATGCATTATACAGTTTCATTAATTCAATGATTCTTTCCTGTAGAAATATGTCCACATTTTAGATGATCACCTTTCTATGTATGTATTCTATTCTATTTATGTCATTGGCATGATTTTCTATATCAAGAAGGAACCATACAAGTAATGTCACTCATTATTTCATAAAGACTAAATACGATGCTTTCAGGGTGTGGGTGTGGTTTCATCTGATACAACCATACACCCACACTCCACACCTCACACCCACACCCACCCACACCCACCCACACCCACCCACACCCACCCACACCCAAACCCACATCCAACCACACCCACGCCCACACCCATAATCACACACCCACACCCTCCCTTCAGAGACTCCTCAGGGAATTTTTGTTCTTCACTACTCCCTGACTACATCGAAATTCTCTAAAGAATCGCTAGAGAGTTCCTGGGGACTCAGTGGAGAGTTCACATATTCTCGGGGACTCCCTAAGGACTTGCTGAGGAACAATGGATTAGGGCCATCTTTGCAAGGAACAGTATCATCTTCTACAAAGCATGATTTCTCACACATCAGTAACAACTCTGGACAAAACCTACAAAGATAAATTACAAAAGAATAAATGGTTGCTAACCCTCTCTGACAGTACATGCAACGAAGTTATTTCCTTCTTTCTTGACGTTTGCAATCAGCATTCCATGCTGTGATTGGGTGAATACTTCTTTTGTTCAAGAGCGAATCAAGAATAAAAATATATAGATGATCGTAGTTGTCATCAACAAAACTTTCCGTTGGGTGTTGGTGTAGGTGTGGGCCTAATTGTCAGGATTTCAATAACTCACACCCACACCCTATATACGGAAGCACGTGACTGCAAATAAATACACATACATACATAAAACCTAACTTATTGGGTTTTTTCCGTTTGCTGGTCCTTTAAGTAATGGGAATATACTATTTAAAAGATATCCTATCACATCAAACATTTTGGAAACGATTTACAGCGATTTTAAGTCGGTATGTGGCAATAGCAATTGGTCTCAACCGGCATTGGTATTAATGATATAATTATTGTTAAGTCCTTGATTTTTTCAATAAAGAAAGATTTTTCGCGGAAATAACAATTTTTTATGAAGTTTGATCAAAAGCAATGAAAGTCGGAGAATTTAAACCTGCAATTAGGTTCTTAGAGTTGTGTACTTGCAGTTTCGATTAAAGAAAGATATTTTTGAAAAAATTATGTTTTGTACTAAGCTTGACTGTTAGTGGAAGGAATTAGTTTACTTGACTAGGCAATCAAGTTCAAAATTTCCAGAAACTAATAGCAGATTCGAACTTCCCGCATGCGAAAATTTTTCCTAAACTTTTATAGAAAAATTATTCTTTGCTGAAAAGGTCCTTTCTTTGACGGACAAATTAGGAATGTAACGGTACCAGTACAATCAATATGAAAGCTAGTCAATACCAATCCCATTCGATGCCGATAATTCACTGCTATATTGTTATTGTAACGTGCTTAATTTTATGGTTTCAAAAGATTCTCAAAGATTTCCAAAGATTCCCAGAGATTTCTAAAGATTTCCAAAGATTTTAGATGTCAACATCTGCTTCTTCCTCCTTTGTCTTTATTAAACTTGCAATGATAGTTTGCACACCGAGTGTATGACGTTTCTAAGAAAGTGTTGACACCAATTTTTAATCTTCAACTTCATTCGGCTGGTATTTATCGTTCTAGATTATCTACGGTCTATCCATCATACGGAGAAAAACAAGGATGGAGAACAAATTTTTGGACAAACGTGATGCTATCCATCAGGATGAAAGTTCAAGTCCGATTTATGGTTACCAAGACCAACGAATCGTGACATTGGAAGAAGCTGTTCAAAGCATCACACATGTCATTCCTAACGTCATTAATTACGTCATACAAGCAAAGGTACAATGCAGAAAAATGAGTATATTAACAGAAGACGAATCTGCAGCTATCTATCTCTACACGATGGGTAGCCCATTTTTCTCGACACTAAATCATCATCTTCGAGCTATGGATAGAGAGGCACTAAGACCATGGTTCATCTACCTGAAACTCTTCATTACCGCTCTCAACAAGTTACCTTCATTTAAGGGTACCGTGTGGCGTGGTGTGCCAAATACGATCAATTTTACGCCTGCCGATTATGCTGTTCAAACTTGGTGGGCAGTAACTTCTACTTCGAAAGATCTTAAGATCATCGAGCCTTTTCTCGACAACACAGGTACCTTTTATGCTATTGAAACGATAAATGGCAAAGATGTTTCACAGTATTCAGCTAATCCTCAAGAACAGGAAGTTATTCTTATGCCAGGTACACGAATATATCTCACGAGTGAACCACTTCAAGTCAACAACGGACCGCTCATGTTTTCTTTCAAAGAATGGTGAGTGAATTGATTTTACTTGACGACTAGTCTTTCGTATAAGTAACTTTGAGTGCTATGAATCTTTCTCATTCATATCAGAGATATCAGCTTCTGAGAGAATCATCAATCGTCGACACAGATATATTGTTGACATTTCTATCTTCTAGTACGAGCATACCCCAAGGCAAACACGTCATGTTTTCCCATGATGTCAGTGATGAAACTATCATCTTACAAATACTTCAAGCTCTGCGCAATCAATCAATTCCAATTTGGTTCGATAAGGGCAGAAGAAGAAGTGATAATATTTACGACAGGTATATGCGTTCAAA